ACAACTCCGTATAGTCGCCTAACTTGGGCCCGTCTGAGTTTTACTCGATCGGAAAATTGTTTTTGGTCATGAAAAGAAACAAATGTAATTAATTACAGGCAACAAAAGTAGTTCACACGCATATGCACAGTTTCTTTACACATTACTAATAATATGCGATACACAAATGAAATATCAATAAAAATATATTTACATATATATAAATATATGTATAGCTGTGACTATAGTCAGGATTTTATTATTAACTTAAATAGCCAAATGCTATGTGTTTTACTAACTTAATATTATCCTCAATTCTTAAGACCAGACTTTATTTTTAATATACATATGCGGGCTTGTGCCGGCGTTCGAACTCGATCAAAGTTATTGAAATCGCACAAATTTATTCCGTAATTCCGAAATGGTAAAGAAAAGTCTTTGATACTATGGAAAGAATTCGAGAAGCATGCCGAAAAGCTACAATTTTCTCAAACTTCATGCAATTTCAAATCCCAAAAGCAAAAGGAAAGTTCTTCATACAATTTCTTGAAAATGAATTCGAGAAAGTCTCTCATTTGGTAGAAATCAGTTTTGAAAAATTTTACCAAAACCGAAAATAGCTGTTTTATATTTTAACTATTTAACTATTTTCTGGGACGCGTGTAGTTTTTAGAAAAAATTATTGAACCACCATTCTGCAGGACAGCATTCTGTTCGTAATGCTTCTGGACTGTGCAAAACATTGCATGGATTCGAAGGGGAGTTTCTATATCTATGTATGTTTGTAAGTTCCCTATAGACTCCATAAGCGCTCAACCGATGTTGATCCAATTTTGTGGAAATATTAAAAATAGTCCAGTGAATCAGCATTCTGTTAACTAGCGTGGCGATTGAATAAACAAATTTTTTTCTTTTTTTATTTGTCTATTTTTTTCAAGAATTTTGGTTTTCCTTATAAATTACTCCTTTAATGGATTTTTTCGATTTTCCTTCCATGGTTTTTTTTTCGTTTTAATATAAAAATAATGAATTCTATTAGTTGTGAATCTACATTCTGTTAACTAGCTTAGCGATTGAATAAGCAAATATTTTTTTTTTATTTGTCTATTTTTTTCAAGAATTTTGGTTTTCCTTATAAATTACTCCTTTAATGGATTTTTTCGATTTTCCTTCCATGGTTTTTTTTTCGTTTTAATATAAAAATAATGAATTCTATTAGTTGTGAATCTACATTCTGTTAACTAGCTTAGCGATTGAATAAGCAAATATTTTTTTTTTATTTGTCTATTTTTTTCAAGAATTTTGGTTTTCCTTATAAATTACTCCTTTAATGGATTTTTTCGATTTTCCTTCCATGGTTTTTTTTTCGTTTTAATATAAAAATAATGAATTCTATTAGTTGTGAATCAGCGATTGAATAAGCAAATATTTTTTCTTTTATTTGTCTATTTTTTTCAAGAATTTTGGTTTTCCTTATAAATTACTCCATTAATGGATTTTTTCGATTTTCCTTCCATGGTTTTTTTTTCGTTTTAATATAAAAATAATGAATTCTATTAGTTGTGAATCTACATTCTGTTAACTAGCGTGGCGATTGAATAAGCAAATATTTTTTCTTTTATTTGTCTATTTTTTTCAAGAATTTTGGTTTTTCTTATAAATTACTCCTTTAATGGATTTTTTCGATTTTCCTTCCATTGTTTTTTTTTAATTAATTCTATTAGTTTTGGAAAAAAAAACTGCACTCGCGCCAAAATATCGACTCCTTGCTGTTCTTATTATTATGTAAGAAGTCCTGTTTAGATGGGTTTGCACTGCTTTGCGGAAACTCTCAGGGGGCAGGGGGCTTGTTAAAAACTGCACTTGCCACTTCCCCCCTATCCACCTCCTCCTCCTTCTCCGCCTACTCGTGTAATCTGTTGTGTGCGCGCCACTTCCGCTGCCGCGCTTTCCCGTTCGTTCGACAGTCCATTCGGGCCCAGCGCTTGACCCCAACACACACACACACACACACACACAGACACACACACATGCATGGGCAACGTATATTGTAACAGTACTTTGGTTGGTTGTCTCGTTTGCTCGGGGGGTGGTGGTGGTGGCTGGCTGGCTGGCTGTTGGAAATACGAAGCAACGCAAAGCAAAAGAGTTCGTTGCCTAAGTCTTTTGTTTGCCACGCAGATTTATGTCATTTAAGCCAAGTCTGCAGGCAGCCTACGACCAAAATACAACAATTTCTGTAGCTCTTTGATTTTTGTTTGTTGTCTCAACTTGCTGTTGTTTTCGTTTTTCTTGCTGTTCTTGTTGTTGTTGCAATGCATTGCTATTGCTATTGTTGTTGTTGTTGTTGTTGTTATTTTGTGCATTCCTTTGCTTTGCGGGTAACCGGTTTTTCCAGCAGGCCACGTCCATGGCTCGCTGACTGCCTAACTGCCTAACTGCCTCACTGGCTGGCTGGTCGGCTGGCCGGCTGGCCAAGCGCATGCACAAGCATTGCCGTTTTCGAAGCCTCCGTCCAGTGCAGCGCAAAAAAACAACAACAACAACAACAATAGCAGCAACAGCAACAACAACAGCAAAAATTGTTGTCAGGTTACTTCACTTTAAACGAACGGCATCAAATTAAAGAACACTCCCCCCTTCATCCCCCTCCCCTTCAGCACCCCTTCAGCACCCCTTCAGCACCCCTTCAGCACCCCTCCAGAGTACTAGTCAGCGCGAGAGAGCCACACATTTCATAAGCCCGCTTCATTTTTCGTCTTTTGTTTTGGTTGCATTTTTTGCGGTTTTCGCCTTCCAGGCGATCGCCACTCGCCGCACGTTCCACTTCCAATGGCAGTTGGACGTGCAGCTTCAGCTTCAGCTTCAGCTTCATGCATCCTGTTGAACCGGTTCACACACACACACACACACACACATATAGGTGGTTAGTTAGTGGCTCCTGCAGCGACGCGACTGCGGTTCGTTCTTCTACCCTGCAACCATAAAATGGCAAAGAAGGGCTCATACTTTTTGGCTCTCAAGTGGGTGAGGATTAGAAGAGATCGAAAGCTGGCATCGCCCGCGTTTCTGCAAAACATTCCTTCCAATAAGGACCAATAATTGCATTATTGCTTAAAGATATTTAAGAGAGTTCCTAAAAAATCCAACTCTTGAATATGAATTGTATGTTATTCTAAGGGAGCTAGAGAACGAGAAACACTGCTTGAAGATTTTTGTAGAGAATTCTTTAAATATGCTTTTCTAACAATCTACACATTTCAAAAAGTGAATAAAATCCATTGTGTTGCTTAAGATAGTAATTAGGTATATATATTTTAAATATAGCTTAGTCGGGAAGCTACTAGCTATGCCTCAATTGTACCGTTCCCATGAAAAAATGTCACTTAGTTATTGGATATACCCTGGAACGCTTTCTTCTCTGCTCCCTGAAGGCACGAGGAAATCTCCCTGAATCTTTGTAAGCTCATTGTTGCTTGGAAAATTGGCGAATCATCAAAGTTTCACAGAAATATTACCACTCATGTAAATCAAACACCAAAAATAATTAGTAGAAATGTATAAGAAGAATTTTACAAGAATATAAAAGGAAAAAAAAGAAAAATATAAGAAGAGTATAAAAGCAATAGGAAAAAATAAACGAATTTAAGAAGAGTATAACAAGTGTATAACAAGAATCTAAAATAAATAGATGACCAATATAAATATGAAATAATAAAAATATGAAATGAAAAATAAAGGAGTGAATCAGAGGAGAAAGAATACAAGAAAAATCTACGAAGACTATAAGAAGAATTTAAGAATAGTATAAGAAGTATAGAATAAAAGAATACGAAGAATAAAATAAGTCTTTGCCTGGAACAAATTGAAAAGTTAACGTACAGCCAGTTGAAATTGCAATTCCAAAATAAAAAGTTTAGTGTTAGGACTAAAACGTTTTGTAGATAGGATTAGAAGAAATCGTAATGTAGCAATGCTACGGAAAGTTTTGAAATTGAATTTCTAAAGAATATTAGACTATTCGCATTGAAATTTCATTTATTTAGTTATATTTTTAGAGTTTTTTTTAATAATTTTCCTTTTCCATCAAATGATTCATTATATGATCAGAAAAATATTCTCACTCAGTTTCCGACTTATGGGACTGATGCGACGCAGAGAGTTTGTATATTTTAAAGATTACATTCACCCTTCTATCTACTATGTTTCAAAAAGTTCAATTCGATTCGACCCCTTCAATTTCTACATGTGCTTACTTCAAATATGGAATCACAATATGGGAAAAATACGATTGTTAGAATACTGCCGGATTCTTACCGAAATTTTTTTGAAATGTTCATGGATGTTTGGAAAATTGACCAACCATTATTTGCACGCTAAATAAATAGCTTATATTTATTTTGGGGATACAAAAGTTTTGTACAAATTAATCCCAAATCAAGCTTTTACGATGAAAAAAAAAAACAGCGCATTCTTCGTATATTTTAGATTGATTTCAAAAGCGTTCATGTTGGTTTCATTTTTGATTTCTAAGTATTTACATTTCTTTCATTAGTTTGCCTGGTTTCTTTGCTTGGTTTCTATTTTGTTTAAAGCTCAGTCCAACTCGAATTCCAAAAGTGTTAGCTCTTTAGAGGGCATTAGATGCAGAACGAAAAAAATAAACAAACGATTTGCATAGCATTACTCATTTTTTTAGACCTAAAAATGCTTCCATATTCAAAGTTAACAGCATTTGAGTGCTTCAAACACACTTCGAATCAAATGAATAATTTTGCGCACTCACCCTCGAGTGCAACCTCATTCATACACATGCACACAAACAGACGACACACACACGCACACATTGCAAAGCGGCGGCGCAGCATGTGGATTGCATTCCACACGAACAAGCCAACAATCGAACGAACGAACGAACGGCTGGCTGGTTTGGTTCGATGGCAACGAACGGTTTACAAGTTCCACACGGCCGGCCTGCCCGTCAGTAACTCTCGGAGCGTTGTCGTGAATAGTCGTCGTCGCGGCTATCGCCAAACGTGTTCGCTTCACTTCACAGTACTTCGCATCGTGCGGTCTCCGGTTAGTTTGTTGTTCGCCAGTAGTTTCAAAACTGGTTCTGCGCCCACGATTTTATTCGTCTTTGCCACTTTTATTTATTTACACAGTAACTACCAAAACTATATCTGTGTTCTGTTCGGCTAAAGTTGTTAAAATTTACGAAAAATATTAACCAACAAAAATTACTTCAAACCAATCGCCGCAGTCATCGCGTCAACGCCGCCGCCGTGTGTGAGTGTGTGTTGTTTTGTTGTTGGCGACAACTCCCACGCCTAAAACACAGTTACATTTTGGGCAAACACCAAATATCGAAATAAAAAAAAATTAATGAAAATAGATAAAGGCAAAGGGCAATAATTATAGAAATTGCAGGCCACTAGTATTTCAGGATTTCGATAATTCGGTAGATCGGTTTCAACGTCGCTCGCGTTTACTTTTATTTTTTTTCTGGTGTGTGCATTGTTGTTATTTTTTTTTCCAACCATTCATACGACGCTGCCAATTAATATGCAATTAAATTTTTGAAAAATCAAATCCAAAGCGATTAAAAATATTGAGCAAGTGTGCAATTGAAGAAGAAGTAGCAGCAGTAGCAGCAGATGTTTAAGAAGTTTGCCAAGTTCAGCAAAGTGTAAAAAAAGCAGTGAAATAAACAGCACTAGCGTCAGCAGCGCAGCGGCAGCAGAGTCGGCAGCATCAAAGCACCAGGAGCAGAATTCAAATCAAAGGTAAAGCAAAGCAAAGCAAAAAAATAAAAAAAATAGTAGAAGTTGGACTCCTACCCGCTCCGCTCTTACTCTTCCTCTCTCTCTCTCTCCCAGTCTGCAACAGTCCTGCAGTGAAAATAGTGTAACTGATCGCTCCTATGTCCGTAATATAAGTATGTTGAAAAAAAATGAAGTGTATGCATATCTGCTAGGGGAAACCCTTTCACCCTTTGAACATAGGGCATCAAAATAATAATGTGAGCAACAAATTTGTTGTTTCAATATTCAAACGGTGCCAGTGCCAATGCAATGCAAGTGCATGCAGTTTCTCTTCTAACTGTTGTTGTTGTTGATTTTTACATACATGCCTACATGCATATGTATGCATGTATGTAGTATACGAGTATGTGCTCTCTGCACCCGTGTACCCGTTATTGGTTCATTCACTTGCTCACCACTTGCTTGCCAAAGAACAGCAATCAGCAGGAGCAACAGCAACTTGTCTGTCTACTCTCGCTCCCTCACTCTCTGCACTTTTCTATGCAGAGCCTTTACCTGTTTGTCTCTCTGTGTGTGCTCGTGCGTGTGTGTGCGTGTATTTGTATTTGTATGCAACGATCACAGGCTCAACATTATTATCATATTGTCATTACAATATATCATTGTCGTTGTTGTTGCTGTTGCGCCGTTTCGTGGTTTCGTCTTTTGTTGGTTTTGTAAACGGTGCGGCCACCACGGCCACTGCGCTTCGGTTGCCTTTTGCCTGCATTCTCAACGTGGACGTGGACGTGAACGTTGACGTCGGCAGTGGTAGCGGCAGCGGTAGCGACAGCGACAGCGGCGTTAGGTTAGACAACATTAGCGGAAAAACTATTTGTACATTAGTATGCATGTATACAAGTATATGTGTGTGTGTGTCTGTGTGTGTGTGTCTGTGTGTACGTGCAATTGTAAGCGAGCCAGTGGTGTAGGGGGTGGGGGGAGAGGGGCGTAGAGGCATAGTTACAGGCCAATAAAACTCTATGCGCGCTGCATTTTTGGTCAAAAATTTGTTTTTCGGGCAACGGTTGCATTCGAAATTGGTTTTAGTTTTTAGCGCCAAGTGCAGCCACCAACGACAGCAATGTCGTCACCACCAAGTACATGACATTTTAATGGCAGCTTCTATTTGTGTGTGTGCTCATGTGTGTGTGTGTGTGTGTGTGTGTGTGTGGGTGTATGTGTGGGTGGAAGTGCAAGTGCTGTGGTTTAGCGGTGTGCGGTGGGGCATGGGGAGTCCTTTGCATTGTTAAATGCTGCACCGCCGCACTCTAAAATGTTCGAAACGCTTGTTTGTTAAATGCATATTAACAAAACATTACACACACACATTAATTTCTCAGTTACCAGCTAAGCATTAAAGCCGTACATTTCCGATTGTCTGTGCAACTTCGAGTGTAACTTTAAAGTTTCGTGGTTTTTTAAAATTTTTCCATTTGCGTTTTATCTATTTTGAATCCCTAGAAACTTTGATGAAATTTTCATAAATTTCTTTTTAAATATTATAGGCTAGAAAATAGGTCTTATCATAGATTTAAACAACAAATGCTTCAGATTTCTTCTTCTTTTATTTTTTTAAGCATGTATTTTTAAGCTGGGAAGGGGTCTTTTCATAAACTTAAGCAACAACTTTAATCAAATTTTTTTTTGTTTTTGCAAACTTTACTTTGAAGCTGGAGCTATGTTGATAAAATGTATATTTCTCTTAATTTTTAAACATATTTTTTATCGATTGAGGCAAAACCACTTATTTGAAAACTCAAAGGTGTATTCAATTAAAGAACAATTAATTTTCTTCCGTTTGTCTTGCAACAACTTGCACAATTTTTTAAAAGAAACTAATACTACTTAATAGCGCTGGATATCTTGTTATCTAATTCTTTTATTTTTCGACACGCATTACACCACCCTCCAAGCTCGTGCTCTATGCCTTTTTAGCTATAAAAACTAGTTAAGTTTATTTTCGATTTTGCATTGTCGACAGAAACATTTCCAGTTTGATTTGCAGCATTATTTTGAGTTGAAAATCTGTGAGAAACCAAAAAATCAAAGTACAGCTCTGGAAATATAAAAGCTGATGTAAATGCTATTAGTTTCCAAAATTCTTGGCGTAGTTATAATATATTCGTAGTGGCAGATATATTCGGCTCATTTGAAAATATCGTTTCTTTTCAATGCCGTGGTTCATCAAAATCTGTTTAGTTACACAAATCACTGAGGAGCCTAATTATTTGGTTAACTGATTGAAGTTCTTTGAACAAAAATTCATTTATTTTTCACTGAGCAAATCTTTTTGGAGTATTTTCTAAGTTTTTTAAATTGATTTTAGACAAATTTAAAAACTTCAAAAATAAAGAAATGTTTTTATTTTGAATTAAATAAAAGCCTAATCATTTTATTCGCTTTTAATAAATTTCGCTTATTAATGGAAAAACGCTTAGAAAAACTTTTCATAGCTGTTATTATCAATTATAGCTCTCTCTCCAAAGAAAAGTTATTAAAATCGCTTGGAAGGAATTGTTACATTGGGCATGATTCAGCAATTAATTTTCTCTTATATAGTACTTAGTTTAAAAATGTTCAAAGCATTGGTCTTAAATTTGAATTAAGTCATCCTTTCCTTAGAAATTGTTTTTAAAATTTCCTTTTCGTACTATGTAGGAATTTGTTGAAGCGTACAGGAAATTAAAGAAGCATGAATCGAAAATAGCATTTAGAAAGGCTTTTTCTTTTCACAATCAGCACTCGTTTATACAATGTAGCCAAACATTTGTAGTTTGAATTGAAAGAATTTTGAAGAATACTCAACACACCTATTATAAATCTCTTTCTCAATAACACTATGCTCTATTTAAATTCACAAACGTTTAGAAAAACAATTTGTTACTTTGAATTGAAAAACGTGTCGAAAAATTGTTTACAAAATGTATCTGTATTTCATGTCTTTTCCACAATTCCCTTATAGGCTGAAGGCTTAATAAGGTTTGTGAAAAGCATTTGGAGAAACTCTTCATAGCATTCTTTTCTATACCTTTGCATACCTATTTGCAGTCTTTTCAACAATTATAATTCTTCTACCCTCAAGCTAGATAGGCATTAAAATATTTCCGAAAACTCGGCTTGAAAAACGTTTAATTGAAAAACGTTTCATAAACATCATTTCGCACTTCAATTCCTTCTAATTGTTGCTAAATTCGTTGAAATTTGTATCTGTTTGTGCGGAGAACTTGTTTTTGTTTTTGCCCAAAATACAGAATATCAGGCAATGGGAGCTATTGTTGTTATTCTTGTTGTTGTTGTTGCAGTTGGTCGTCTTCCCTTTCAGCGTTTACTTAGAGTTTGGCAATTAGAGTCGACTCCGGAACGCTACTTCATCTGCCATTCTCCATTTCGTGCGTTTCGTATTTTCCATTTTAACAAGTCTATATGCATAGTATATATATGTATGTATGTGTGTGTGTGTGTGTGTGTGTGTGTGTGTGTGTAGATGTATATTCCCTCTAATATTTACGCAACTTTTATTACACGGAGCCGAACGGCCGGCCGCTGCAACCAAATTGTGTGAATGTGAAATTTTCTATTCACTTTGTTTTCTTTTGCTTTTTTATGTGAAAATTAAAACGTATCTATAACTATATCTCTAGTATTGCTGTGCCATGCTCGTTTCGGCCAGCAATTATAAAAGGCAGGCAGCAGGCAGGCAGACGGGCAGACGGGCAGACGGGCAGACAGGCCGACAGGCAGTCGCTTATCAATTTGAGAAAATATGGAACGTGAGGCGGCAAGTCAGAGTCGGGTTTGTCGCACCAACTTGGGTATAAAATTTCACCGGCAGCTGCTCTCTGGCTGGCTGGTTGGCCGGCTTGGCGATCAAAGTTGTTAACTTTTTTTTAGTTTTTAGTTTTTTTTATCGCTGCTGCTGCTGTTGTTGGCATTGTCGTTGTCAGTTTTATAGTTTACCCTTTTAATTGCCAGCCTAGCAACCCACAACTCAATGCTCGTCGCGAGCTCATTACGTTGGAAAAGTTTTGACAAAACTGCTGCTCTCGCCAGATATTAGATTTCAAAATGGCTTTTCAATCAATTGCAGTTGAATTTGCCGCCAGCTAGTCTCACTGTGTTGGGGGGGCGGGGAGGGGGCATGTTCTGATAAGCAGCCTTTTTCTCGGCTCTGCCAGCCAGGCGGCTCGACGACGACAGCAATCAGCAATCGGCAATCAGAAATTGTCACTGAAAACTTGTGCGTGGCTTTTAAAAGGCCAACAAATTGTTGTGCCTTTGTTTTTAGTTTGTCATGGTGCTGCCCATTTTACTTTACACATATATATCTGGATATATATATATATTTTTTTTGCCAATTCACGTACTGCCACTTGATGATGGCGTCGGCATTTTTTTTTTTTTTTGAGCCGTTACGCTTTTGTGCACAACGCGTTTAATTTGTTTTGAAATTAATTTTCATTTCTTTTCTTGCATTCCCAATGGTTGTTGTTGTGTGTTGTTCTTGTTGTTGTTGTTGTTGTTATAGTTCCGGCACTCTTCTTTTACAGTACAGTCAAAAAAATATAGACCTACTTGTCGCTAAAATGCCAGAAAGTTCAACCTCTAAGTGGTTCTCATAAAATTGTTGTCATTCTTTTTGCAGAGTTTTGTCAGTTTTGTCAGAGTTTTGAGAGAATTGCATAAACAATTTAGTGCTTGCCACAATTTGTTGCAAGTCTTTGACTTGAATTTTGCATAAAATTCAAATGAAATTCAGCTTGAAATTCGAATTCAATATAACTTTTGTAAAGTTGTAAAAGGCATTTATTTAAAATTGTATTTGCTGGGGTTGCCCTTAAAGTCGTTGCTTAAGGTGGAACGGTGGAACGGGGGGGGGGGGGGGGGGGGGGGGGAGAGGGCTGTTAAGGCTGGGCTATTAGAGGCCCTTCAGCTTGGTAGCAGACACCTTGATTCAGCCTTGATGTAAGATGGGGTTTTTT